GATCATAATACTGCATCTGAGGACCTTGGCCACCTGAAGTACCATGAGAAACCTGGAGTGCCGACTGAAAAATCCTAGGAGGATGGCCTCTACCATACGAATCTCTACCTCCAAACGAGGTACCACTGAATCGGCCTGAATGACGGGGCCTCTTATCCGACCCATGACCACCTCCCTGCGACAGAACCATCTCAACTCTCCGGGCCATATTGGCCGCCTCCTGAAAAGATATCTCACTCCCAGCCTCCCTAGCCATCTGAAGACGAATCGACTAAATAAGTCCATCAATGAACCTCCTCACTCTCTCTCTCTCGGTGGGAAGTATGATAAGAGCATGACGAGCCAAGTCGATGTATCTGGTCTCATACTGGGTAACAGTCATAGAACCCTGCTGGAGGCGCTCAAACTGCCTCCGATAGGCCTCTCTCTAAGTGATGGGGAGAAACTTCTCCAGAAATAGCTGCGTAATTGCTCCCAAGTCAAGGCTGGCAATCCGGCTGGTCTAGCTAAGCAATAATCTCTCCACCAAGTCTTGGCGAATCTAGATAAGCGAAAAGCGGCAAAATCGACCCCATTGGTCTCAACTATCCCCATATTCCTAAGAACCTCGTGACAACTATCTAGATAATCCTGGGAATCCTCAGTAGATGCACCACTGAAAGTAGTAGTGAAAAGCTTGGTGAACCTATCCAACCTCCACAAAGTATCGGTACACATAACTGCTCCATCGCCGGTCTGAGCTACCACACTCGGCTGAACTGCTCTAACTAGCTGAACCACTAGAGTATGAAACTGGGGAGCTACCTACTCTGGAGTGCGAGTAGCAGGAGTCTGGGCTCCTCCTCTTCTCAGGCTGGTTCTAGAGGAAGCAAGCCTGCTCGGGCGACACTCTCCATGAGGCCCACCAGACGGACCAGAGCATCTTGAAGAACTAGGGTATCAATAAACCCCTTTAGGACCTGAGCTGGGCCCACCGGAACTGCTAGGGCCGGAACCTCATCATCAAAGTCAACCTGAGGCTCCGCTGCTGGTGCTGCTGCTCGGGGCTGAGCTCTGCCCCTACCCCGGCCTCTAGCACGGCCTCGCCCTCTGCCCCTCGTGGGAGCTATTGCTGGGGGCTCGGGCTACTGGTTAGTGGATGAGGAAGCACGTGTTCTCGCCATCTACGAAAGAACAGAGTAGAAATTCAATTAGCATTGAGAAACCAAATCGCACGACAGGAGAGAATGAATGTGAAGTTGTTCATAACTTTGTAGCCTCTGAGGGATAAATACAGACGTCACCGTACCGATCCCTCAGACACTACTAAGCTTGTCTGTGAACTGTGAGACCCATGTAACCTAGAGCTCTGATACCAACTTGTTACGACCCGGATTTCTCACCCTCGGGAGTTGTGATGACGCCTACTAATGTGAGCTAGGCAAGTCAATCCTTAACTACTTATCTCATCATCCAATTATTTCTTTTTAACAATTATAAGGCGATAACGCAAAAGCATCGGAACTTTAAATAATTACGCGGAAGATAACAGTTAAAATAGCTGAAATCTATATCTATTACAACTAACTAAGCTTTAAATTACCCAAAACCTAGTGTCACAGTGTCACAGATTGTTTAAGATTGCTACATACAAAGTCTGAAGAAATAACAGTACACTGTTTCTGAATAAAAGGAAAATGAAACAGGAAATAGGGATAGAGGGAGACGCTAGGGCCTGCAGACACCTGCAGGTCTACCTTGGATCTCCGCGTGGACTGAAGGTAGCCTCCACACTATGGTCTAAAAGCTGCTCCGGGATCTACACATAGTGCAGAATATAGTATCAGTACAACATGTGCTGGTAAGTGTCTAGCCTAACCTTGGCGAAGTAGTGACAAGGCTAGGACCAGACTACCAAATAACCTGTGCAGTTCAAATATATACAACGAGAAAGAAGTACAAAAATAACCAAACAAAATGGGAGGGGGAACATACTGTGGGGGAGATAACAGTTCCGAAGAGAAAGACATCAAATAAACAAAAGAAACAACATAACTCGGATATCAACAAAGAATCAGAAATCAATAAATGCACGGCATCACCCTTCGTGCTTTTACTCTCGTTCTCACCAAAGCAATCATATAATAAAAAATGTGCACGACATCACCTTTCGTGCTTTTACTCTCTTTCCTCACCATATAATCAATAAAATCGGTACGGAATGGCACATCGTGCGGCACGACATCACCTTTCGTGCTTTACACTCTTTCCTCACAATACAAATAATGCACAACATCACCCTTCGTGCTTTAACTCTCTTCCTCACCCAAACAACAATCACAAACAATAGGGCAAGGGAATAAATGAAATTGCAATAACGATCCCGGCAAGGGAACAACAATTCAACAAATAAATTCCGGCAAGAGAACATCATCAATAACCTCAACATCTCGGCAAGGGAGATAACGAATAAATCAACAATAGCACGGCAAGGGCGACAACATAATGATCTCTTATCTTTCTCACTTTTGCTTCACAATTCACTTCACAACTTGAGTCAATGCTCTAGAGGTTCAATTATCACTTATACTTTAACAATTTGTTATACAACTTGAGCCAACGCTCCTCAATGTTCGTAGATCACAATTCCTTCCACAAACTTTACACAACAAGTAGAAACCATTGCCAAGGCATGAAAGATACAACGAAGTCATGATAATCACAATATAAGACTCACGGGCATGCTAGACACCGACGTATAGATACTCGTCACCATGCGTATACGCCGTACTCAACAATTACCACATAGCAAATAGGACTCGACTCCTAATCCCTCAAGCTAAGGTTAGACCAAACACTTACCTCGATGCCACGAACACAATTCACGATTCAATTATAGCTTTACCCCTTGATTCCACCACCAATTCGCTCGTATCTAGTCACAAGTTATTTAATTACATCAATAAATGCTAAATGAATCAATTTGAATGCATGAAAATGAGTTTTCTAAAGTTTTACCCAAAAAGTCAAAAATCGCCCTCGGGCCCACATGGTCAAAACCCGAGGTTCGAACCAAAATCTGATTACCCATTCCTTCACGAACTCAAATATATGATTTGTTTTGAAATCGGACCTCAAATCGAGGTCCAAATCCCCATTTTTTTGAAAAACCTAGGTTCTACCCAAAACACCCAATTTCCACATGAAAATCATTGATTTTGAGTTAAAATCATGTGAAAAGATGTTAATGTTGAAGAAAACAAGTTAGAAATCACTTACCAATGTTATGGAGAAGAAGGGTTGTTTGAGAAATCGCCTCTTATGTTTTTGCAGTTTTGAAAAATAACTGAAAATCCCGTCTTAATGTACCCCTCTCAGACTTCCTGTGCGGACCGCACAAAATCAACTGCGGCCGCACAGTCACCAGTGAACCTGTGCTGACCGCACAAAATTAACTGTGTCCGCACAGTCACCGGTGCGGACAACACAAAATCAATGCGGACCGCACTAGCAGGTTCATAGAGCTGCAGTTTTTCTGAACCTCCAATAGCCATGTTTTAAGCCTAAGACACCCCGGAACCTACCCGAAACTCACCCGAGCCCTCGGGACTCCAAACCAAATGTGCATACTAACTCAAAAATATCATATGGACCTACTCGTGCGATCACATCATCAAAATAACATGTAAAATCATGAATTAAACCTCAAAACTCAACATTTTCATCAAGAACTCTCAAAGTTCATAACTCTTCAATCGGAAGTCCAACTCACGTCAAATAAACTTCGTTTTCACAAAATTTCATAGTTATCTTTCAAATACTATAACAAGTTTGTACGGGGCTCCGGAACCAAAATACGGGCCCGACAACAATGGTTTCAAATATTAATTCTTTTCTTTATTTCTTAGATAATTCAATGAAACAATTTCTTTCAAAAATTGATTTCTAAGGCTTGGGACCTCGGAATTCATTTCCGGGCATACGCCCAAGTCCCATATTTTACTGCGGACCTCCTTGGATCGTCGGAACACGGATCCGGGTCCGTTTGCTCAAAATATTGACCAAAGTCAACCATAATCAAATTTTAACTCTAGAATTTCTATTTCTCATATTTTCACATATAAGGCTTTCCGGATATAGGCCCGGACCACGCACGTAAATTAGGGTGGGGTAAAAAGGAGGTTTTTAGGCCTCGGAATACTGAATTCACTTGCAACACAAGTGATGACCTTTTGGGTCATCACAAGTAGCAAAAATTTTAGTTAATTTTAAAGTCCTAAATTTTAGAAAAATAATTAAATGACTATTTTGTCTAGTGTGAAATCTGTTTTTAAAGGGTAAAAAAGACGAACGACATTCCGCTAAGGGCCTTCGTGCTTTTAATATAGTATAGATATATAAGCATTCAAAAAACATTTAAGTACCTTACTGGACCTTGGTTAAGTTGATGACTATTTACTTGGACTATCCTATTAAGTTGAAAAGTGTTAGGCTTGCTTGATATATATATACATGTTGGTATATATTCCCTCTATCCCAGTTATGTGACACCATTTTTTTAGTCACCTCCAAAAAGAATAATACAATTTAAAATTTAGTAATAATTAATTATAAACCTCCCATTTTACCCTTAATAAGATGATTTATAGCCACAAAATTTTTTTTGGATTGTTTTAGACCATATAAGTTTTACAAGTCTTTTGCTCTTTCTTTAACTTCGTTCCCAATCAAACATCATCACACAAATTGGAACGGAGGGAGTATTCGCTTGCTTACTTGTACTGTTGTACAAGTGAGGAAGCTGATGTTACTTCACCATATAATTATTTTGTTGGGGGGGGGGGGGGGATTTTTTTNTGTTTTAGACCATAAATCTTTCGCTCTTTCTTTAACTTCATTCTCAATAAAACATGATCACATAAATTGGAATAAAACACATCACATAAATTGAAACGGAGGGAGTATTCACTTGCTTACTTGAACAAATGAAGAACCTGGTAATTATTATTTATTTTTTTCAGAGTGCGAGTAGCAAATGAACTAGGTGCTGGAAGAGGAAAGGCAGCAAAATTCGCAACAGTGGTATCAGTGGCACAATCCACCGTGATTGGGTTAATCTTTTGTGTATTAATAATGATATATCAAGATAAATTTGCTCTAATCTTCTCATCAAGCCTTGATGTCCTAAATGCTGTCAAGAAGATATCTTACCTTCTTGCCGTTACTATTCTTCTAAACAGTGTTCAACCTGTTTTATCCGGTAATTACCTTTCTTTTTCGTTCGAAGTAAAATATGAGTTTAAATTCTATGTACTGTCTGCGTTAAAGAATTTTAATAGAGAAATGCATTATCTGTTACAGGTGTTGCGGTTGGAGCAGGATGGCAATCAAAAGTGGCTTGTATTAATCTAGGTTGCTATTACCTTGTTGGGGTCCCTCTTGGACTTCTTATGGGTATGGTTCTCAACACTGGTCTTGAGGTATGTCGGTTTCCTTTTTTTTAAAATCATATTACAAAATTAACAAATTAATATTTATAATAGGAATTTACTAGTAATTATTTTGTGAGTAATATATTGTAAATACTTTTCAGATCGTACCATGTATTCTTTTATATATTAAGTCTTAAGAAAATAAATGAGTTGTTTTTATTTTTTGTGCTTATTTTTCTCCGTTGGGGTGTGGATCTACGTTGCGGAATGACAATTTTTATTAGAGTTTTTTGTGCTTATATATGAAAATTGGAAATTGCAGGGCATGTGGGCAGGAATGATTTTTGGAGGGACAGCTTTGCAGACGATAATATTGGCTTTTATAACGTATCGTTGTGATTGGGAAAATGAGGTAATATCTTTTTCTAGGAAAATGCAAAACTCTGGAACTTGTTTTTCAATTTTATCAAAACCCTTCATCTTAACAATAAAAATTATATATTGTTGTGCATTTCTTGGCAGGCTGAAAAAGCTAGAATGCATGTGCAAAAGTGGTCGGAGCCACCTCCAGCTAGTCAATCCTAGATGATCATTTCCTTTTTTAGACAACGTTGAGTCGGTGACACCTTCTATTTTTGTTTTGTTTCCTACCCTGTTTCTTCTTTAAGCATAAAGAATAAGCAATAATCATGCTGTTTTGTGCAAGGGTAATTTGTTCAATGAACATTGTAGATAAATCAAGATTCAGTGAGTAGTAAGTCAAATATGACAAGCTCAAAAGTTTGGCGTACTTCAACTTTCTCAACAACGTTTTAGTTTCACCCTTGTGAAAAAGAGAGCACTAATGTCACGTCGTTAGTTGTTAACTAAGTACACGTGCGGCACTTGACAACTCGCTCACGATCTTGCACAACTTGATCACGTTCTTGCTATGTTAAGTCAACCTTACTACACTCAAGATCGCTAAGAGAATGGAAGAAAGAACACAAGAGAATTGTTAAAGGAAGCTTTGTATTAGAGAGAACTTGAATTGTTTGCTTGGTTGATGAATTACAAATGAATGCCCCCTATTTATACTAATCACATAGGGGCTAGTATGTAAATAATAATTGTTCTACAAGTCCTTCCATATTTACAACTAAGTCCCTTCTCTAGAATATTCTACACATCTAGATTCTTCTAAGGACTTTCTTAACAATTCTATAGGGTTTCTAGGGTCTTCCTAAGGAAATCTCTATATTTCTCTAGAACCTTCCTACAAATGCATAAATATCTAGAGCTTTTTTAAGGAAATTCTGCATAGTTCTAGGATATTCCACCAAGATCTTTTCCCTAACTTATGTAACCCTTCCATATGTCAAAAATATATACCAAGTGACACCTACGTGGCATGATGATGTGGCGGGTCATGACAACTAAACCTGGAATAATTAAAGAAGGAACATAATGCTTATGACATTATCAAACTAATGGTGGAAAAACAGCCTAGCCTTGACTTTATGATCAAGTCCTGAGCTCGAATTGTTTCTCACTTGAAAAAAGAATGCCCTTGAACCTTCTATATGTTCGTATATTTGATCTCTAAGTAGTTGAACTTGAGGCAATCATTATATAGATCCCTACTTGCACGAGAACTTAAGAAAAATGGCATGTATTCAACGGTTTGCTCTCTCTTGAAAAATTTAATATAATATTTGTGATCGTTTGGAGCAAGTAAAATATGCATAGAGTAGTAATGCAGTGGCTATTTTGAATGCTTAGGTTGTTCGACCAAAAAAAAAAAAAAGCTTAGGTTGAAATATTGTAAATTTGTAGATAGTGTATATTCTCAATTTCTTTTGACAAAATAAAGTTTGGTTTATTTTTAATTTTGTAATTTAGTATTTTTAATCTATGTAATATTAATACATATACCTATATTGTAAAGGAATATGGGTATTAAGACGTTGCACGAATCCATGTAATGGAATTCATGTAATTTAGGATTACTCCAACTTTTGTATGTGATGGAATATATACCACAGCGGAAGCAATAACAGAATCTTATTCACATGTAATCTAAACANTGTACTAGATGTGTGGCTAAATTTAATAAAATTTTAAGTATCTTTATTATTATTATTATTATTATTATTATTATTATTATTATTATTATTATTATTATTATTATTATTATTATTATTATTATTATTATTATATTTTTTANATTATTATTATTATTATTATTATTATTATTATTATTATTATCTATCTATATATCTATCTATTATCTATTACTGTATTAAAAGCACGAAGACCCTTAACAAAATGTTGTTCGCATTTTTTACCCATTGTAAGTGGATTTTAAGTTGGATATAATTGTAAATATCAAAAAGGTATTTTTAGGAGAAAAAAATGAAACTAACGTATTACAAAAAAAGGAGAAAGAAGAAGAGAATAAGTGAAAAACAACTTCTTCAATTAATATCCAAAATAAATTGTGATTTTCGTAGGTTAAAAAAGGAAAATAGAACTTAAAAGAGAATAAGTAGGAAGCATTTAATATCTCTATTAAAGAAAAGTCAAATTTTCGGTGGGTTCAAAAGGAGAACATTTAACAGAATAAATAGAAAACTTATTATTAATGAATATCCGTGGTAAAGGGCATTAGAAACGTGTACCAATTTTCATGAAACTAAGGTTTAGTTTCTGCGTTGATTAAAAATTTTATTATTGCTAAGAGTCAATTTTTGCTGTCTTTTCCATATTGTCTTTCATTTTTTATTGTTGCTTTAACTTGGAAAGGCTCTTGCTTTGAATTCTCTTTATTCTTTTTAGCTTGCCATACGAGAAGTTTGATATTTTCATTAGGGTTGTTTAAGTCTTAATTTGATATTTTCATTAGAGTTGTTTAAGTCTTAATCGTTGATTGTGATTCAAACTCCTTTATTGCTTATTAGTGCTTTTGCTTCTATTTATCATCTCTTTTATGTTCTTAATTTGGTGTTGTCTAACTTTTGTGCTTTCTTTCTCCCAATTTAGGTTGCCAATTCTAGATCGTAGAAGCTTTTGGATCATTTGAACTAACACAACAAAGTATATCGAGGTAAATTATTATTTATTTTGGTCCTCATCGAATGAGATATGAATCATGCCTTAGCATGTGAGTCCCTTAATCTTTTTTATTTTTTTTCGTTTTATAGAATATTATTGTAACCTTTGGCAATTTTTCTTAGTTTAATTTGTCGTTACTTTTATTTTTAATTCTTCTATAGGATTTAGCAAGAATTATTTTCCGTTTAAATCTTTTTCTTTTTACCATTCAGTTCAATTTTTTTAGGATAAAAGATTATGTTGATTAATACTTTGGGTTAGAAAAGGATTTATGTTTAAAAAATATCTAAAAACTAACATCGCATCAATATAAAATTTTTTGTATTTAATGTACTCTATTAAAGTCAAGTCAAAATTATCCTATGTTCAAATAAAAATGTCACAACCCGGATTTTCCACCCTCGGGAGTCGTGATGGTACTTACTAACGTGAGCTAGGCAAGCCAATCCTTTAACTACTTACTTCATTATCCAGTTATTTCTTTTTAACAAATATAAGACGATAACGTGATAACAGCGGAAAAATCCAAATTTAAGCGGAAGACAACAATAACATATATAAAATCTGAATTTACTACAAATACTTAAGCCTTAACCACCCAAAACCTGGTGTCACAGTATCACAGACGGTCTAAGATTGCTACATACAAAGTCTGAAGAAATGACAATACACTGTTTTTGAATAAAAGGAAAATGAAACAGGAAATAGGGATAGAAGGAGACGCCAAGGCCTGCGGACGCCTGCAGGACTACCTCGGGTCGTCTGATGAGCAAGAATCAGCAATCCCACTGCGGTCCGAAGTCTACAACACTGAGTTCTGCACAAAAGAGTGCAGAGTGTAGTATCAACACAACCGACCCCATGTGTTGGTAAGTTACTAGCCTAACCTCGGCGAAGCAGTCACGAGGCTAGGACCAGACTACCAAATAAACCTGTGCATTTTAACTATATACAGCGAAAAAGAAGTACAGAAAGAAACAGTGATATACAGCCAAGTATGGGAGGGGGAAAACATGCTGCGGGGAAACATCGAGTAGTAACAGAAGAGCAACAGATAAATATGAGAATCACCACAGTTCAATTGAAAATAGGAAGGGGAAATCATGCTGCGGGGTACAACAAGTATCAACAGGAAACCAACAATTTAGTGTAGAGAAACTGTAACATAGTTATCAATAAAAAGTAGAAAATCAAAGACAAGTGCACGGCATCACCCTTCGTGCTTTTACTCTCTCTCACCAAAACAATACACGACATCACCCTTCGTGCTTTAACACTCTCTCACCAAAACGATACACGACATCACCTTTCGTGCTTTACGCTCTTCCTCACCCAAACAACAATCACAAGGCAAATAGGGTAAGGAGATCTAAAAGCTCGAAATAAAATCAAGCAACAACAGAAAATCAGTAAATAAACGTAAAGGACATCATAACTCAATTATCAGCAAGAATCAGGGAAATCAAGGACAAGTGCACGGCATCACCCTTCGTGTTTTTACTCTCGCCCTCACCATAAGAATCAATACAATAGGCACGGAATGGTACATCGTGCGACACGGCATCACCCTTCGTACTTAACACTCTTTCCTCACCATGAAATCAATATAATAGGCATGGGATGGTACATCATGCAGCACGACATCACCCTTCGTGCTTTATACTCTTTCCTCACAAAACAAACAATGCACGACATCACCCTTCGTGCTTTAACTCTCTTCCTCACCTAAACAACAATCACAAATAATAGGGCAAGGAAATAAAGGAAATTGCAATAAGAATCCCAGTAAGGGAGCAACAAGTCGACAATTAAATCCCGGCAAGGGAACAACATCAATAACATCAACATCCCGGCAAGGGAGATAACAATTAAATCAACAATAGCCGGGCAAGGGTGACAACATAATGATCTCTTCTCTTTCTCATTTTTTTTGCTTCACGGTTCACTTCACAACTCGAGTCAATACTCTAGAGGTTCAATTATCACTTATGCCTTCACAACTCATTTCACAACT